CACGAGCGGTTGTAAATTAACATGAAATGTTCATAATGTTCATTTAACTATGAAGCCTAGTAGTTAGGTGGCTGTGCAAATTTAGGGAGATAAATATTCTTGGAGGTTCGTATTAGAGCTTTCTGGGTGATAGATGGGTCATACAGTTATGGGGAGCATATATGTAGCACCATCTGGCACCGCTGCCAAAAGTAAATAACATATTAGTGAACTAATCTCATCTATAACTTGGGAGAGGAAAGATAGAAATATGCTTCTTTGGTCACAGTTTTTTTACATTCTTAAACTTCAAACCTACAACCTACTTAACTATTCACAAGAGAAAAGTACTTTTTATCAATCTTGCATTTCACCTTATTGATTGCTCTACTCTAGATAAGTTTTAACATAGAATTAAAATTGTAACTTAGGAGTAGTGGTAGCAAAATCACCTTTATTGACACTCCAAATTAGAGCCTAACAGTAGTAGACTAAAACTTCACCTAAAGTGATTATCTACTGTGGTTCCCTATGGGATCGACACTTGGGAATAAGGAAATTATTATATTACCTAAACGATACGTGCATTTGCATTAATACCTAGTGAATATTGTTTAACCGTGGCGACTCTTGAGTTATATAATTTATAAAATATATTTTAAAATTATAATACATAAACTCTCAAATGAGTAGGTATATCATAGAGAAAGTAGCAGTCGCTAACTTTAATTTCATGGAGGTCGAGTCTTTTTTTAGCCTTTATTATGTACCTTTTAGAGTCCTTAGGGGAGTCTTACTAGAAATAAGGTATGAGCACGAGTTTCATGGAGCTTGATACGGGAACAATGTGGTGGTAATGAGTAGTTAGTTCGTGTCCCGTACCTTAATTCTAGATTTTAGTTTGATGTATAACATTTAAGACTAGATATATATATATATACATATATATATATATATATTGTGTGTGTGTGTGTGTGTGTGTGTGTGTGTGTGTGTGTGTGTGTGTGTGGCCCAATCACCTTTTTTTCTTTCTTGGATATGTTGTCGGCCTAACGGCGCCCTGCCTGTCATTTATTTATACTTAGCTTGATTTACTTTACGCAGTGTGCTATTATTTCCTCTTTCTTTAATTTTGGTTTGTCTGGGAATCAAGTGAAGTATAATTTAGGCTCTTTAAAAACCTAAAATTTTCTCTTTTTTAGAATGCTAATAACAAAATATTAAGATTAGTCAAAATTTTGCATTAAGAAAATTAAATTATTTAAAACACACACTTTAATTTCTACATGGCCTTTAGGACGATTTTAAAATTGTTCGCATAGCATGAATTTCTCCAAAGTCATCCCTAATAGGGCCTTTAAATTAGGACTTTAGATAAGTGCGTCATTCTACATGTCTCGAGGAGAATCTCCTGTGCCTTTTCTACCCAACTGGATAAGTATAAGTTTTTATACTTAGGTGGTAGGGTGTTAGAAGCTTTCCCAATTCTGAAAGGATATAAGTCCTTTGTGGTAGTGTTTATAGCTTTGTAGTTGGACCTCTCTTTTCCTTTCCACTCTAGTGGCTTCCTCGCCATTTTGGTGAGTATAAGTCCTACTTATACATACTATAACTACAGAGGATCACAAGACTAGAGTTTCATTCTTTTAGAAGTAAGAATTCATACAATCTCTATTTCGATTGCTGGATAGAAGAATTGTAGATTTAATATGAAAAGTTGCATGATTGATAGAAGTCAAGAATCATCTAATGTCTTACTTTCTTCGTTTGGAATATAATCCATATTGATAATATAACTTGTATGACAAGATTGAGGATATAGATTATAGAACAGAGTAATCTTCAAAATAGCAACCATGTGCTTATTTATAGGCAAGCCATGAGTAACACAAAAGATTGATCAAATCCAATCCATCTTTGATAAGGTAACTGATCAGGAAAGTAAATTACTAGAATTCTATTACTATCATTAAAATTATATGTTTCTAATTCTCTTCTTTTTGCTTTGCAATTTACTGTCCAAAATTACTAGATAATCATAAAAATAAATGCACATCAAAATGTGCAAACAACTTGATTTCATATATCCAAGTATGCCAACGATAAGCCAAGAAGGTTAAAGGCTAATGCACACTTGTCAAAGACTGAGGTGCACTCATCAAATGATTAGGAGCAACTATCAAATGCCAAGATTCACTCATTATAAACTAAAGTGCACTCTACAAAGACCAAGATGTACACATCAAATGTACAATCACCTTAGTATAAAGGAGCTACTCACACAAACAACAAAAGTTACTTATATCTATCCAAAACTGACTACGTTATCAATAAGTCAACATTCCCTTCTAAAGGCCTATGAACTCGTCTACTCAATACTTGAATCCCCTCTCCCACCTAAGGAGAAGTCCACATGTACTCACTAGTATTCTTACCAGTATTTTCATTTGCAAATCAGAACTTTGGTCTTCTTGCTGATGTGTCTCTAATTAACTTGTCATGTATCTTCTACTTATTTATTCTGCATGCGGTCAAGGTGTAGTTTTTCCTATAGTTCCCAAAACCTCATAAATCAAGCATCAAAATGCCATTTCAAGATATAGATTCTAGTAATTTTATGCTAGCAGTAAAATCTTCAAAGCTTATATACCTCATTTTCTCTTTCTCCATCTTTTTCCTTTGTTATATATTCATTCTATGAGACCGTACAAGTCTTGCTAATAACGTTTTAGCAGCACAAATAAATTTAAATATAACCACTTCTACTAATATTAAGATATTGGGATTCTAATTCACTTATTTTTTGCAAGTTACCCTCCAAAGATTACAAAAAAATATATAAGAGAACAAAACATACATCGAGTATCCCAATGACTATATTTTGTACATCTAAATATATTAATGGCCTGGTTCGCAATCTGATAGAATTGCCTACAGAAGTTAGGTCAAAATAAAAATTTATTTCTCCAAAGCAAACAATATAACCACAACATACAAAATAAAAGATAAACACCTACAATTCGACAGACAGACAATCTCTCCCAATTCCCACAATTCGAGAAGTAGGAAATCTCTCACAAACCCTAACCTTAATACTCACAAGAATAATCTCATGCATAACCTTAGCCCTAAACATGTTAGCCTTATTATACCAAACAAGAATTAATTAAAAAAAACCTATATTGCCCTGAGGCTAGATGTTGGTGTAACAATCACATTGCCTTCAAAGTGGAAAAAAGTAAGTGTTCTTGCCCCTTCACCACAACCATCGCTATTTCTTCATCCTCTGTCTTTTCGTCACACACCGTGAGAACCTATAATATTCGAACCTTACAACGATCACGAAGGCGCGATTCCGAGTGACTATCACAACTATATCGACGTCTTAGAGTGGGAAGAAGGGAGTTTCAAGTTTTGTAAACAAGCGTAACGATGTCCACTTCCTAGGTGTTAGAATCCCACCAGTCTTCACAAGTGCATGAGACAAAAGATACAATCCCTTTGTAACCTTCCCAACAAGCTTAGCTCACGACTATATGGCACATCATGTTCCTGTCATTTGTGTCCATATATTAAACGCTACATATGTTACGATACTTCCCTAGGATTTCTCCTCTACAAAAACTCTAGCTCTTCATCCTTCTGATCCTTATTCCCAGAACCGAATGCTTTGATAACAATTTGATAGGATTCTCCACAAAAATTAGTGCAAGACAAAATTTTATTTCTCCAAAGCCGATAATTCAACCACAAACATATAAAATAAAGGATAAACACCAACAATTCAAGAGGTAGGTGATTTCTCCAAAACTCTACAAATCAAGAGGTATGAAATCTCTCCCAAACCCAAACTCTATAACTTACAACAATAATCTCATGCATAACCCTAACCCTAAATACATTAGCCATACATATACCAAACAAGAATTAATAAAAAAAGACTTAATTTCCCTTAGGCTAGGCAACGACGTAACACAATCCAATGTAAAATAAGGAAGGTTAAAGGTGTACAGACCAAGGTTCAATTTCCATCAGTGTACTCATTAAAAGCCAAGTTGCACTCATCTAAGGCTAAAATGCACTCACCAAAGGCTAAAGTACAGCCATCGGCCACCAAGTGCTTCAATTGCCAAAGACCAAGGTGCACTCACGAATCATGGTGCCCAAATTTAGGGGGCCACACACCTAACCAACAGAAGTTACTCACCCATCTTGTCCTAAAGCAATGACATCATCAAGAAATCAGCATTCCCTTTCTGAAAACATGTAAACACATCTACTAATTAGTGACACAAGTATTGCTTGCTAAAAAAGTTTTACATGTATGCCCACTAGTGGTCTAACCAATAATTTTTTATATTGCCTCCATAACTCTAATCCTGGTATTCATAAGTCTGTAATTATCTTATCATGCATTATTTATTTATTTATCCGCAAAAAAAAGGTGCAACTTTTCATGTAACGTTCGAAACTCTGAAATGTATAAGAGAAAAGACTATTTCGACGGATGAGCCTAGTGTTTTGTGCTAACAGTAAAATCCCCACACCCTCTCTCTCTCTCTCTCTCTCTCTCTCTCTCTCTCTCTCCTTCCCAATCTTTTTTTATATTATTATTTTTTTGGGAATTTATACATCTTCATATATACCTGCCCATCTCACACCAAAACTTTGATATTTACCTACATATCACTTTTACCCATGCCTTAAAATGTGGATTTGACTTGTGAACATTGATAATTAGTGGTAGTTTTGTGATTGAAAACAATTGAATGGTATGCGGGTGAATATGAAGATTTGGGTGTGAGATGTATAAACATACAGAATTGTGTGCTATGTATGTAAATGCTTCCCCACTTTTTATTAGGTTTTTTATTCTATGAGATTTGGCAAATCTCACTGGTAGAATCCTCGTAGTATCATTGCACCCAAATCTGAATGCAACAATCATTGATAATTAAGATTCACAAAAGACTAGTACAATTAACAACTACCAATTATCAGAAAAACGGACAATAATCAATGTTATTGATCATAATGGGAAATTATTTGGTAGTAAAACAAGAATATGTGAAACCCTAAGTTGGATATTTTTGTGCATTAGCAAGAAATAATGCTTATTAATCAACCTTGACCACATAGAACAAACTTAAAGAGATATGACTAATGATAATATATAGAGCTCCACAGTTTTAAGAACCTGAGAACACACTAACTATGGTTGTTTGTAGAGAAGCAATAGTATCAACTGCAGATTTAGCAAGCCAACTGATCCCCACTTTGAGCCGATGTTCATTGGTCGGCATCCTCAAGAGATAAGCCAGCTTCCGTGCTGTAATACAAGAATGTAACAATGATGAGATGAATGAATACATCCGAAAGGGACATTTACATACATACCACCCAATTTTTGTATATTTGTATATTTATATATCTAACACTAAACTTTGCTTTTTTATATTGATACCACCCAAATCTTTCATATCAAATAAAAAGTGCCACTATTTTAACTTTTAGAAAGTGAAATACACCTTTTCATGCATAGGTAAGTATAGGTAAGTTGGCCAATTGAAGTTTAGGTGTTAGATATGTAAATACATAGGAATTGAGTGGTATGTGTATAAATCTTCCAAAATCTTATATTGAAAAGAGGCAGAGACGTGAAGTTACCAGTATGTCCAATGGGTCCATCCAAAGTAAGGCCCTCTATAAAGCTTGGTGAGAAAGCAGCATCATTCCTTCCAAGGGTCATCATTTCTCCAAGATACTGGAAACTGGAAATCCAATGAGCAGAGCTTGTTGTTATGACTGTGAAGCAGATACTTATAATGCAACAGTGTTCGTTGAAATATTACGTTCTAGCTACCAGTTCTCATGTCATTTCTTATGTATTTTAGTTATTATTAGTTAATTTTCAGATTCATATCATTGTCCTCATTTCTCATTTTAAGATTTCTGCTAATTAGGAGTGCAACAGTTTTTTTCTTTTATTTTAGGAGTGCTCGACATGGGGCGCCATTTACACGACAATAGTCGCATGACCCCGAACCTGGAAGCGCCAAGCAGCCCTCTTAGCCCTAGGAATTGCCGCCCAAGGGAGTATCCTAATTATCCTATTATTAAATATTCACTTTCTTGATGTTTTAGGGTTAGTTTTTGGTTATATGTTTGTTTGGGACAGACGCCGGCCTCTTTGCTTTCCTGTCTAGGGCTGCATCTAAGGGTTGAGTAGTGCTCCGACCATGTCTCGCTCATGAAATGATGATTATCCTTCCCCCTACCCTTCCCCATCCGCCCCACACACTCCCCATCACCCGCCCTTGCTGCAGCCGCCCTGAACAGCAGCCCTTGGCTATTTTCCTGGAATTTCCCACTTTCTAGCTGCTTGTCACTGCCGCCCCAGACAACCCATCCTTTTGCTGTCCAGCAGTCCACTGCATCCGCCGTCGTTGTTGCCATCATTCCCCCTCGCTGTCACTGCCCAAAAGAACCGTTATCTGTTGTTATCCTCGATGTACGACCATCTTTCTTTCTGCCACCGCCAAAGACAGCAACCACAGTTTTTATTCCTGCAACTTCACACTTCCCGCTTGCTGCTACCAATACGCTCAGGACAACAACCACCCTTGTTCTTCTTGCAGCCTCACACTTCCACCTCGCTGCTACAAACACCCATTTGCTGCTGCCACACCTTCTAGCCCATTAACCGCTTTTTGCTACCTCTCGAAAGGTCAAATGCTTGCTGATCACCAACACCACCCCATGATCCACCATAGTTTGAGACAGGTTGTAACTATAGATTTCCGTTTTGTTGGGTTGCAATTTCCTATTTGATTTCAGTAGAAAAAATTTGTTTTTCCCATCGTTGTTAATTAACTCCGATATCATTTGATTTCAGAGCTAACATAACCCTGGTCCCATCCTAAGGTTACCTAAATCAACCAATACCTAAGGTTCCCTAAAACAAAGTTTAGAGCTAACATAAAACTAAGTTCAGTGCTGCTGAGATGAGGATGCTTAGGTTGATGAGTGGCTAGACACTTGGGGACAAAATGCAAAATGAGTATATACGTAATAGGGTTCGTGTAGCCCCAGTGGCGGACAAGATTAGAGAGAGATGTCTTAGATGATTTGGTCACATTAAACGTCGACCAGCTGATGAACTAATTAGGAGAGTAGATGTTTTAGATTCGACTGATGTTAAGAAAGGCAGAGGTAGACCCATAAAGAATTGGGCATATTTTTAAGAAAGAAATAATCTTAATTTATTAGAATTAAATGAAAATATGACATTAAATATGAATTAATGTAGAAAAAGTATTAATGTAGCCGACCCCACATAGTGAGATAAAAGTTTGATGTTGTTATTGTTGTTGTAGAAGATTTATAGGAAAGCATGACACATAATATTTTTTTTATAAAGTTAATGAGTAAGAAAAATAAATAAATCTTTTCCTAAAGATATTTGATGGAGAAATATGAAATAAAGATATAAGAAATATTGCATCATTGCATATAAATATAACTATGGATTACGGGTTTGTTTGAGGCAGCTATTAATTATTTATAATCTGTTGATAAGCAGATTATTCTGATAATCTGATAACCTGCAGATTATCAAAATAAACTGGTTTGCTGTTTGGGGCAGCTTATTCAGAACAGATTATTGACAGTTGTTGTTGAACAAATGACCATTCTGCCCCTATTTGGTTAAGTTATTTTCAACAGCTTCAAACGCTTGCATCACTGATTTTTCGTGTTATGCAAAATTGTCCGGCTCACTTTCTACTTACTCGATTAAAGAAGCATCAAACAAAATAAAATTATGTACAAAATTTATGCAGACACGTAAAAAAAAACTATGAATAACTGATATTAGCGAAAAGAATCCCCTTACACTCAACATTTATATATATATATATATATTAGAACGGCAAGAGAAAACTTCAATCATGTATTAAACACTCAAATTTTGGTCAGAAATTTCTTCTATCAACTATTTCTGCACAGATACACTGCTAATACCCAATCAGAAAGAACATCGCAACGAATCAGGGCTTCCAAATATAAAAAAAAATTAAAGTGAAAAAAAAAATCAAATCCATGAAAGAAAACAGATCACCCTCGCTCCTCCGACAGAGATCAAAATCGTCTTCTAATTTTCGCAGAAGAAGGAGCAACACAAGAAGTCTGTAATCGTAGCAACAAGAGCAGCATTCATTAATGGCGTCATCTTGAGGATCGTCAGGCGTCGACATCCTTTGAGCAGTCGGAGGATCCATCCCTATATGCAGACACAGGTAGGGAGAGACGAAGCCAAGCCCTTAGTTTTCTCTTCTCTTCTCTTCTTGTTCTCGGAGAAAGGAAGACGAAGAAACTGTGAAGACAGAGAGAAGCAGGGGTAGAAGAAGGAGAAGGCAGATCTCTTCTAGGGAAACGAAGAATCTAGGGAGGGAGAAGGCGAGAGATCAGGGGTACCTCTGGAATTAGCTGTTCCCGAACGCGGGACGCGGGCGCATCGAAGCCCATGAAGGATTTGTTGGACGCGGACGTTGTTCGGTAGGAATAATTTGCGCGAACTTGATATCCAAACAGTGCAGCGGTGCTGCCCCAAACGGGCCGAACATCTCGGGTAGAAAGAAGTACCAGAATCTAAGACCCAAAACACACCAAGGAAACCATCTAGGAGGCAGAGATAGTTGGGAATGAAATAATAAGCAATCAAATTCATCATGGAAAAGTGAAACAGTTCCTAAATTAGGACCAAAAAATAGTGGTGGCAACATGTTGAGTGGTTGAAAAACAACCAATTTTTTTCGGCAACATTCATACGAGTAATTAACCGTAGTAGTGCTGACAAGTTGGAAAAGAGATTCGACCATAAACACAACCAGCACCAAGACCAGGTTTACCCCATTTTTTTCTTATGATGGTAATAATAGTGGTCGATTTGTGATTATTAAAAAAATATAGTTAGCTCCGAGCTCTAAAGAAAATGAAAGAGAGCCACAAAAATGTTGGGAATAATATAATTAATCATCAATTGAGCTTCAACAATTTAAAGAGATGGATTGAAACTAAAACAACATAGCAATAAAAATTATCGTTTTTATTTACTCAAGTAGATGGAGTAGTGGTAAAAGGGTGATATTAAAGAAATTCATAGAATTTACCTTTCAAGGTACTACAGTAATCATCCTATTGTAAAGACAAATGAAAAAGTATACTCCTAAGAGATGGTGTTATCTTAATAGAAAGTGATATGAATAAAGTCCCACATGCTTTTGCAGTCTGCTAAAACATGATGATAAGAGTATTCGATGGTTCAAGACTATTAAGCATTCAAATAATAATAATAGTCAAAGGCTAGATATTTTATATGTTTAGCAATATCCAAAGAGTCCAAATAATAAAGTTTCTCAAATGATCCAACGAGCAAATGAAAGGCCCAAACCACATGAGCTAGTTGAAAACATTGAGTTTAATAATGGCACAAATGTTGGAAAAGTGCTTCATCCAGGAAAGGAGTAAAAGATGTCAATAAACACCAAAAAGAGAATGAAAAAACCTTGATTTAATTAATCATAGATTGAGAGTTAATGCTTAGATGAGGTTGCAGGGAAACAACCGAAAGATCATTGAGCAGAAAAGTGCAGGAGAGAGACTTCACAAGCAGAAATACGTGAGTGACGGAGTTATGGGTGCAAGAGAGAACACAGCGGAAAGTAGCAATGGAGCAGGAAAAAAATTATTAATAGGCAACAAATGTCATCTTGGTAGTTATAGCAAAAGGCAATGAGTTGGGCATGCAAAGGGTGTCACGTTGGCGAGTAAGTGATGCAAGCTGTAATTGAAATTATTGCTCAAAAAATCACCTTCATTTTATAGATGATGGGTTTATATACAGTCTTACTAGTTACAACATCTACAAATGAATCCTTCCACTTCATCTATTTATTTATAAGTAGGACCCTCAATTAGATACAAATCTCAACACTCCCCCTCAAGATGGGCAAAAAATATTCACTAAGCCCATCTTGTCTACAAAACCTAGACAAATCTAACGTGCCAAGTCCTTCGGTGACGCAATCCTCCACTTGCTCTTCAATGGGTACATGACTTAGCTCCAGCAGTCCATTATTCAGCTCTTCCTTGATGAAGAACCTCTCAATCTCCACATGTTTGGTTCTATCATGTTGCACCTAGTTGTTAGCAATGTTGATTGCCGACTTGTTGTCTCACCACAACTTCATTTGAGTTCTGTGATCCACTTTGAGTTAAGCCAATAAGGTTTTCAACCACATCATCTCAAAAACACCTAATGTCATGGCTCTGTATTCTGCCTCTGTTGTTGATCTTGATACAACCGATTGTTTGTTGCTCTTCCACGAAACCAAGTTGCCACCTACAAACATGCAATATCCTGATGTAAATCGTCTATCATCAGCACAGCTTGTCCAGTCAAAATCACAAAAGCCCTCAATATCTATATGCCCACTCTTCCGTATATCAACACTTTCCTTGGAGCACTCTTCACATAACTCGGAATCTGATACACTGTATTCATATGACCCTTGGATCATGAATGTAGTGGCTCACCAAACTCACTATAAAAGAAATATTGGGTCGAACATTACACATATAGATCAGGCAACTCACCAGTCTTTACTACCTCTCACGATCAACCGATTCAACTGTCTCTATACTAAGCTTGACCTTCTAATCAGTCAGAGAGATTGCAAGTTTGCGCCCCTCGCATACATATCTCCATGAGAAGATTTAGTATATACTTTTCTGGGATAGGACCGATTCCATATGTCCATTGACCACTTCAATCCCAAGAAAATATCTGAGTTGTCCCAAATCATTTACCTCAAATTGCTTCCCCAAACTTCCCTTCAGTTGAGCAGCCTCTGCCTCAACATCACCAATGATAATTGTCATCCATATACACAACAAATATGGTAGTGTGACATTCATGTTACCGAAAGAACAACGTGTGATCTGCAGTAATATGCTGCTATCCCATGCCAACCATCATTATTCTAAACTTGTCAAATCAGGCTTGAGGAGACTGCTTCAAGCGATACAGTGACTTCCTAAGCTTACACAACTTGCCCACTATCTGAGATGTCCTGAATTTTGATGTTATCTCCATATATACTTTTTCTAGTAGCTGTCCATGAAGAAAAACATTATTCACATTCAGTTAGTGCTCTCCCTCCATCATTCATTGCCAGAGAAGTCAGTGTCCTCGTCGTGCTCATCTTTACGACTGGTGCAAATGTTTCATCATATTCAATGTCATACGTCTGACAGTATCCTTTTGACACTAGCAAGTTTTGTACCTCTCCACCTTCCCTTATGGAGTTTCCTTCACCGTGAATATCCACTTGCATCCAATTGCCTTCTTCCTTGCAGGAAATGATACAATCTCCCATGTTTGATTTTAATCAGAGCTCCAGGAAATGATACAATCTCCCATGTTTGATTTTAATCAAGAGCTCCAAGCTCTTCATGCATCGTTGGTTTCCACTTGAGATCCTCTATAACAATCTTCCAACACTTGGGTATAGAGCCAAAGTCCAATGATGCAATAAATACTCCATGCAAAGTTGAAACGTTAGAATAAGAAATAAAGTTCGCAATATCAAATTTCCACCCAAAATAATCAGAAGAATGTCCTGCATTGTTGTGGGAGGTTTTCCTCAATGTTGGGTTGGGGGGTTCGGAGTAGGGAGAAGAAATAATCACCTGGGAGTTTTGAATCAATACTGGATGGTTTAGGTGTCTCGAGATTTGGGGAAGCCCAGAACAAAGGACTTATTGGCGTTGTAAACTTCGTTCCCTCAATTTGTTTTGTTACTCCGTGTATACACCCTTAACTCACCTTCAACCTAAATCCCACAATCTCTAAGGTCAATCTCGTCAATTTTTGGCTCCTCAGTTGATTCATCCCACATCACACGACATGATATTACTCTCACTTGCACCACACCATCACCACTACCACTCCCTCTCTCTTGCCTCATATCTTTAGTGTCTGTTGAGTCACTAAAGGGTGAATTCATATCCAAAGTGTAGAATGGTCCAAACTCTCTGAATGTCAGCCATACTCACGGAAAATCACTTCTCAATTGAGCTCCAACTGACAACCCTTTTGAGTAGCAAAATAACCCATGAACATACATTTCACAAGTCTGAGATCCAACATCCATACAGATGGTTTATTACCTTTCACAAACCATAGACATCCAAATATCTTTAATGGAAGGATCCTACTATTGTCTCCTTTCAACATCAGACAAGAAGCTTTCCACTCCAACAGTCTTGAGGGCATCCTGTTAATCAATTGAGAGGTTGTCAACAGTGCTAGCCGCCATAAGTGTTGTGGGACATTCATTGTCATCATTATGCTCTGCTCTATCTCTAGAAAAAGCTGATTCTTCCTCTCTACTACTCTATTCTGTGCAGATGTGTATGGACATGTGATTGATCTTGTATCTCTTGAGCTGACAAGTAGTACACAAATGTTTTATTTATATATTGTCTCATTATCAAATCGTAGTGCCTTCATAACTGCACCATATTGGGTCTGGATTGCCTTGTGAAAATCATTAAAGCAAGCAACCACCTCACTCTTCTGTTTCATCAAATATATCCAGTTAACATGAGAAAAAAAATCAATAAATGTTACAAAATACCGTTAATCATTCATAGAACTATTAGGAACAAGGTCCCCATACATCAAAATATATCAAATTAAACACACTAGAGCTCATATTCCCAGAACTGACATAAGAGCTCATAGTGAGCTTGCCAAACTCACAAGCATCACTCATCAATTTCTCTTTAGTTGTCTTTTTATACATAGATGGATTCGACTGACTCAGTAAATTAAGACTAGAATGTCTCATATGTCTGTGATGAAGCAGTAACACATTATCGACGTTCGTCCACAATCTGCTACTACAGCACTTTCCACCATGGATGCTAGAGCTGAGCCAATCCCCTCTGAGTCCAAGTACCAGAGTCCGTTATGCCACGTTCTATTCCCAAGTGTCTGGCCCGTCCATTTCTCTTGGAAGGTCACCTGAGGAATATCAAAAGAAATAATGCATTTTAACTGGAGAATAATGACACAAATGGATAAACGGTTTACTGGAAAAGGAGGAGAGGAGCATGCAAAATATTAGACAAAGTCATATGAGTGGTACATCTCATTGTACCCTTACCAACTACATGCTGCATTGTACCATCAACAGTGTGTATAGTCTCTGGTATAACTAGATGAGTATATGAAAGAAACTCTTCAACAGTACCTGTCACGTGACAAGAAACACCAGACTATGATTCATTCTGATAAGTTTGTGGTGGAGATAAAGACAAAAGAAAGTGTAACTAGTACCTTTGCTGAAGTGAGCATAAGTGGCAATGTTACCCCTTGATATCAATGAAATTGAAACATCTTCAGCTCCATCTCCTGCTGCTTTCTGCTTACTCTTCAACAACTTCAATAGACACTCATGATTCTAACTAGTAAAGATCACACATGTTTCTCCCTCGTCCTGTGCTACCATCAGATTTGTCCGATAGCCCCCTCTTCCACCTTTACGGCACCCGCAACCACCACCACAACCACGACCTCCACCTTGTCCACGTCCACCTCTCTCCTTCGGTGGCTTAGGACAGACCCTGCTCAAATGACCAACCCCACTACAATTGTAACACTTGCGAGTTTCCCCCTGGACACCTAGAGTATCTGGGCTCGCAGCAGCCAATGCTGATAGTGCACCAAAAAAATCACTTGGCTCAGAGTGTAGCTTCATGAGACTCTCCTCCTATATTATCGCAGCAATGGCCTCATCTAGTGTAAGAAGAACGCCTGGGAATAAAAACTTATGTCCTTTGATTAAAGGCCGCGTTTAGATGAATCAAAAACTGCATAGTCCTCATCTGTGCAAAGATCTCTCCTTTCTTGCACCCACGATCACCACAGTTCGACATAGGTGAGAAGTGATTAAGATCTTACCACCGCTCCAAGTCTATAGAGCACTCCTGAATCGATCTATCACCTGAACCATTGTCTCTATCTCAAGTTGAATATGGAACACCCTCCTGTGGTTCCCAGCTCCAGAATAGATCCTCAGATTTGCCCAAATGTCGCTCACCATTTGAATGTCATCCACTGATGAGGCAATCGATGGAACCATCGAGTTGAGTAGGCAGGTGTAAAGCAAGGCATGTGTGGTCCTCCACTCATCTCTCTCAGCACTGTCACTCTTTGGCTCAACCCTCGTCACTCTTTGGCTCAACCCTGGCTCAACCCCCGTCAAGTACCCTTCTAGTCTATTCCCTACTAGAGCAGTATCAATCCAACGTTACCAGCTTAAATACGTGGCCAGTCCATCGAGTTTCAGATTCACAAAAGGGAGATCTAGCTTCACCTACGTCGGAGCATGTGCTAAGGTAGTGGCTCTCGTCTTGAAGCTAGCTCCCTGTATGAGCCCGACCAAGACCTTCAGAACTTCAAAATCAATCTTCCCTAGAAGTTCCACTCCTTTAACTCCCCCACTATATCCATCTCTGACCATCCTCAATTACAAGGCTGCAACTCCCCTGTTCCAAGAGACCCTTCACCGATTGGAAGTCCTTCGCTTCAGTCTCTACTTCGATAAAAAATGTGTTTTTTTGCTTTTGCAACAAGAACAAGATTGAGAAACACAGACCCGACGTCGTTTCTTTCATCATCTCGCAAATCTAGCCAAGTCACTTCTTCCTCGTCTCGCAGCAAGAGCAAGATCGCGACACAAACAATGTTGCTTCTTCCCCATCTCGTGAATCCAGCTGACCTAGCCTATGCCTCGTCTCGTGAATCCAGCCGACCTTGCTTCTTCCCCGTCTCGCAAACCCAGCCGCAGAGAACTCCAAAAACCTTCGCCCGTAAAGGGGTTCACGCGACTTCTGTGAATAGGGGTGAGAAGACGACGATGGTTGCAGGAGGGACGGGTGAGAGAGCGGTTAGGGTTAAGCTTTGATACCAAATTGAAATTATTGCTCAAAAAAAACACTTTTATTTCATTGATAGCAGGCTTATATAGTGTCTTACAAGTTGCAACATTTACAAATAAATCCCTTGACTTCATCTATTTACAAGTAGTACCCTACATTAGATGCAAATCTCAACAACTACATCGCATCAAAACACTAGAACAAACACATAGATAGGTGGCTGGCTTAATGTGCGAGTATTTGGACAGGCATAAAGAGAGATGTAAGGGAAAGGGGAAAAATTGGCAAGGCTTAGCCTTGCTTAGATGCAATGACGAGACAATTGAAAACATGAGATATATTCACTATAAACATGCTTACATATAGACAAATACAATGGATAAAATAAGAAGAAAATAATGGAGCAAAAAAGTGAAGAATGCCCTCTAATATGAGAATATATTATGAAAAAATAATAATAATAAATAATTAATTGTTTCTCTATAATTACCTGCATTATATTTTTCCTCGGATAAGATATTTAAGAGCCAGATTTGAATTAAACAAGGAAAATTAACGAAATACATACCGAAATGGTAAAAGAGGTCGATCATTAATTGATGCCCAAAGATTCCAACCAGCAAAATCTGCTTGCTGAAAAGCAACCTAGACAAATTGCCAGCCAAATGTTATTTCAGAATAATTATAAAATAAGAAAATATAAAGCTAACCAAAGGAAAATGAGATGCACAGCAAACAAGAATTAAAAATAACTGCTCCATAAAATAAATAAAACTACGGTGCCAGGTGTGCAAATAGGCGAAGACATTGCAAAGCATTGTATGAAGTACAAAACCAAAGATCCACCAGAACGAGCACTCAAAAGAAATACTAAAGCCATTATAAATTTAACATAACTTCAATAAACATAATCACTACTCAATGAGATCACCACAAAAAAGAAGGGTCATTTACATACATACCACACAATTCAATGTATTTACATATCTAACATCTAAACTTCCATATCTACATACAAAACACTCTAATCTTTAATATCACAAAAAAATATCACAACTATTATCTTTTTAAATGTGAAGCACAGCTACCATACATAGGTTCATGATATCAAAATGTTATAAATGTAACTATCAAACTTTAGGTGTTAGATATGTAAATAAAAAAGAATTGTATGGTATGTATGTGAATTTTCCAAAAAAGAACCAACATACTTGAGCAGTTGCAGGAAGCAACTTTCCGGATGAATCCCTCATAGCCGCAGAGTCACCTATTGCAAATATTCTAGGATGACCTTTTACACGGAGAGTTTCATCAGTTTCTGCTTGTCCCCTTCCATTAAGGGGTAACGTACGGGGTTGGTCAGAAGGTTCCAGCTCAGGTACAAGTGATTTGGAACCCACAGTCCATAAAACCAAATCTGCCTCCAGAATCTGACTCTGCAGACCTCTCTGAGCAGGTTTTAGCTCCAAAATAAATTTTCTGTTTGTTTTTACTTCATTATCAACACTAATTACTTGCTCAGTTCTTGGAATCACAACCCAGTCCTTACTAGGAGCTTCAGTAATCGAGCTCACAAAATAACCCAAGTGAAGCTTAGTGTTTCGAGATGAAAGAACCTGCAGAAAACAGTCGAACAATGAAAATATCACAATTATGATATTAAAGGTGCATATTACATCAATATATATTAAATAAAGAACATTTATGGAGAACCATACTTATAACATTCATTATTAGACAGACTCTTCCAGTTTGTTATTTTCTAATTCCTTGAGCGTTGCATATGATGTTAGCTCTAGTTGACTCAACTCTGTAAAAACTCTAGTTAATGGAATATCAAAATATATATGTTGATCTACCACACAAAAATAGTATTTCATAGACTAAAAACAATTATTAAAGTTAAGGGGCCATTTGGGATTACTTTAATCTTTTATTTTCTATTTCTAGTTTTCGTTTATGTTTTCATTAGAAACAAAACATGTTTGACTATTTTATTAGTATCTGGTTGTTTCTACAAAGTGTTCTCAAAATCATATTAATTTGGTAGAAATAAAAAATAAAAATATGTAAATAAAACTCTAAACAAGCAGACTTCTAAAAATGAAAGAAAAAAAAAACAAATTTGATTCCAAACAAGCCCTCAATAAATTCAAAACAGATGTGAGAGTTTAATGGTTGTATTCTCTCTTTTTTTTCTTTTTTTTTTTTTTTGTATTACTAAATTGCTCAAAAGTTAATAAGTTTCAAAATAGTTCTATTCCTATTGCTCCGCTAACTAATTATTAGCATTAATCTAACACCAATACCTAGCTAAATGCAGTTAATTACAAAGGTATCCCTTTATGCGAAATATAGCTAAAGAAAAGTTCCCATGATTTGCAGATGGTTCAAAAAAACTTATCAATGAGATGAAACTGAGATTCTTTACGATGTTTGCAAAATTAAATTTGCAACCTCGATGAAACTGAAGCTTTAAAACCAAAACTCTAAAGCTGACACATTAGAAAAGTTGATCATACTTTCAAAGCAGCTTCTCTATTTCCAGATGGTGCACTGGGACAGATGGAAGTTTCAACATTGATTGCGTGAACTATTCCGAAGCTTTTTAATCTCTCAGATATTGTGGCAGCAAGCTCTACTCCAGAGTAGCCACACCCAACAATAGCAACACTTATAGGAGAAGAATCATTACTGAAATGATCCCTTTCCAACATCCTCAACTTGTCATCAATTTTCTGTATTCATTACTTCTCAAATTATAAGACCAATTAATAGGTGCTTTGGCAGAAACCAGAGCAGGCATAAATGAACAGAAAAAAAAAAAAACAGAAGCGGTTAAACAAAATCAGGATTTTCATAATCCCAAAAAGAAAAAGTTGTTTAAAACATAAATTCAATCCAAACATTTCAACTCGAGACCTCTGAGTTGCAATTTATCATGATTAGCATTTACACAGTAAAAGAAACCTGTATTTCTTGCACTTATAAAGTATTTTTCCTACATTTTTTTTTTCATTCTTTCCAGATTTCACAGGTGTCAGTTTAAGGTTTTGGGGCTTGCCCACAATGAGGATGAACTGTTCCAAACATTAACTATGTACACATGCATAAGATGACATGCTCTTTCTCCATCGTAATAATAACTAAAATGGAAGGAGAACAATCAGCTAACTTGTAAAGCATTGAAAAAAAATAAGAATTCGGGATTGAAAATTCCATCTTGTTAGCGTATACAGACCACGAATCATAGTCTGTTTGCATCCTGATCACATATGTTGCTTCAATTACATCTGCCTTTGATAAGCAGTAGTGTGAAAATATCAACTTAACATGTATGAAATAAACATCAAGCACAAACAGCATCAACAATGATAAGCAAGTTCATTGTAAGGATGCATAATCACCAATAAAACAATAGATTTCTAGCAGTTTATCAGTATCAAACACAATGATGCCACACACAATGTAGAAAACAAAATTCAGAAGGAAAAATAGTCAAATCGCGGGACGCTCATGGCAGTTTTCGTCTTCTGCTTCGTTGAATCACCTACCTCGTTCGTCGTCTTCATCGATCTCGTCGCTACGTCGTGCTCGAAGAAGGGGTTCTCACCTCATCAACTTCGTCTGCTTTGTCCTTCGTCATGCTGCTCGTTCGAAGAAGATTTCCGTCGTCTTCCACCTTCAATCACCTTCCTCCTTTCGCATATTCCTCGATTTCGTTGCTTCATCGTGCTCGAGAAGAAGGGGTTCGCTCTTCGACTTCGTCAGCTTCGTCATGTTGCAATTGCCCTAATTGTCGTTTCTTCGTCGTTTGCTCTTTCCTCGACTGCATTCTTCACTGCTCCTAAAGCCTCACCTCCTTCAACCGGTGATGGCTTCGGGAAGAACTTATGTTGCTGCCCTTGCGGGTGTTCATGCCTCAGGTACTCCTAAAATGAGTTTGTTCCCGCCTTCTTTTGCGCCGTTGGAGGGTGGCGAGCTCTGTTATATCAAGAAAGCTGGTAGGAATAATGGGAAGTCAACCATCTTTTTTACTGAAGCCGAAAGTAATCTGCTTACTTCCGCATGTCATCTAAATTTGGTGGGGAATCTCCTTTATGGCCATCCCAAAATGGAGATGATTCGTAAGAAATTTGAGCTTATGCACGTTGTTGGGGATTAAAATTTAGACTTTTAGATGGGCGGCACATCCTTATTCAACTTAACAATGAAGAGGATTACACATGCTTATTTTCTATAAAACTAGTTTGGATTGATAATAGAGCAACGAAAATTTTGAAATTGACTGTGGATTTTGTCCCACAGAAGAAACCACCAACCATACCAATCTGGATTCGCCTCTCTGACCTGAAATTTCATTATTTTAATAAAAAAATGTTATACTCTATTGTTTCAGTCTATGGTAAGCCACTCAAAACGGATATTCCTATTTTTAATCTTTCATGTCCTTCGGAAGTCAGGGTGTTTATTGAAAGAAGCATCACTTTAATCGCTCTCGAGGAAATTTGGTTAGGCTCACAACACCAAGGATATTGGCGAAGGGTAGTTATTGAGCATTTCTCTATGTATTGCTCTCATTGTCGTATGTTCGGTCACTCCAATTCTTACTGTCGTATGTTCGATCACTCCAAATTTGGTGAGGTTCACAACACCAAGGATATTGGCGATGGGCAGTTATTGAGTC